CCCTCAGCCTGCCGGGGCCGGCGGCACCCTGCCCACGCCCTGCCTGCTCCCCTGCACCTTGCCCACGTCCCACTGCTGCCCTGTGCCCCAGCCAAGGGTGACAGCTGCCTGCACCCATGGCACCCTGCTCTGCCCTACCCACTTTGCCTGCCCCTGCACCTCCTGCTTGTGTGCTGCTGGATCCCGGGGGGCTGCCAGATCCCCACCTCAGCAGTATCCTGCTGGCTCCCCTCTGGTCCCGTGCCATGCTGTCGGCTGTCCCCACCCCGTCCTGTCCCGCCCAGGGCTGCCAACTCCCCCTGCCTCATTCCCACCAGCTCTCCTCTGTCCTTCCCCATCCCTGCTGGTATCCCACATCCGTGGTACCAGGTACCCACAGGTGCCTGTGGACTCTGACCTCCCCATGCCACAGGTTTAGGCCTGGCCTCTATGGTGATCGTCTTCTTCTGCAACTCCTACTACATCATGATCCTGGTCTGGGGGCTCTTCTACCTGGTGCACTCACTGACAGACACCCTGCCCTGGGCCACCTGTGGCCACTCCTGGAACACAGACCAGTGCACTGAGCTTTTCCACCTTGAGCTCTGCCAAAATGTCAGCACTAATGCCACTGCCAGCACTGGGACCTTCAACTTCAGCTGTGCCGACATGACCAACAAGCGTTCACCCGTCATTGAGTTTTGGGAGTGAGTGTGGGAACTGTGAGGGTGTCCCCTGGGGCTGGGGGCGTCGCACTGGTGCTCAGCATGGCCCCACTCTGCAGGAACAAGGTGCTGCGGCTCTCTGGAGACATCAGTGAGCCGGGGGAGATGAACTGGCAGATGATCCTCTGCTTGGTCACCACCTGGATCGTCGTCTACTTCTGCATCTGGAAGGGCGTCAAGTCAACCGGGAAGGTAATGCTGGTAGGGGGCACATGCGTCAGGGCCACTGGCATGGGGGAACGGGACTGCAGCACATGGCACTGCTGGCTCCTGCCCTTCTGTGCCACAGCCCACAGGGGTGCAACACCCCTGTCCCACATCTGTCCAGGAGGTGCCACCAGCCGCTGGGGATATTCCCAAGCTCTGGTCCCACTGGGACACCTGTGGCACATGACAGAGAGCCCTGGCCCAGGGGTTCTCACAGGCACCCACTGCTCTGCAGATTGTCTACTTCACAGCACTCTTCCCCTATGTGGTCCTCATCCTGCTGCTGGTCCATGGGGTGACACTGCCCGGAGCTCTGGGTGGCATCGTCTACTACCTGAAACCTGACTGGTCCAAGCTGGCCGAGGCACAGGTGAGGGCAGTGGGGAGGGCAGGAGGAGGCTGGGTGCTGGACACTCATCTGGCACCCTCATCACCCTCCTACACCCTCCCTCATGCCCCAGGTCTGGATCGATGCCGGCACCCAGATCTTCTTCTCCTATGCCATCGGGCTGGGCGCCCTGACCGCACTAGGCAGCTACAACCGCTTCCATAACAACTGCTACAGGTAGGGCTGTGCTGGCTGCAGGCAGTCCCCTTGGTGTGTGTCCATGTGCCACCCTGGTGTGTCCCCCTGTGCCCATCTGACACCTTTTTTTCATAGGGATGCCTACATCCTGGCTGTGATCAACAGCTCCACCAGCTTCTTTGCCGGCTTTGTTGTCTTCTCCGTGCTCGGCTTCATGGCCTCCGAGCAGGGTGTGGACATCTCCAAGGTGGCCGAGTCTGGTGAGTGCTGGGCAGCAGGTGCTGACTGGCACCGTGTCCCCTGTGTCACCCCTTGAGTGGCACCCCTGACCCCACTCTCCCGCAGGTCCTGGGCTGGCTTTCATCGCCTACCCCAAAGCTGTGACACTGATGCCCTTGTCCCCGCTCTGGGCCACGCTCTTCTTCTTCATGCTTCTCGTGCTGGGGCTGGACAGCCAGGTGCAGCAACAGGCAGGGAGATGGGGATGGGGAGGGGATGGGCAGCACGTCCCTGCTGAGCCCTGCTTTCTGCCACAGTTTGTCGGCGTGGAGGGTTTCATCACGGGCATCCTGGACCTGTTCCCCCAGCCGGGGGCTGGCTCGCTGCGCCGCGAGCTCACCGCTGCGCTCTGCTGCATCGTCTGCTGCCTCATTGACCTCTCCATGGTCACACAGGTGGGGGATGTGGCAGGGACACTGGCCCAGCTGCACCAGGCACCCGCCTGCTCCTGGGGTGTCACCTCCCATGGGGTCCCAGTTTGGGGTGGGAGCTCCCTGGGGCTGCTGCCCCCACGGCAGTGGGGCTGCCCGTGGTGTGGGGGTGCTGTGGGAGCAGGGTGCCATGGCACGCAGTGTCCGTGCTAGGTGGGGCACTGGTGCTGGCGAGGCTGTGCCGGTGCCGGTGTGGAGGCGCGCGGGGCAGCTGGCACAGTACCGGTGACGCGGGCACCATCCCGCAGGGCGGCATGTACGTGTTCCAGCTCTTTGACAACTACTCGGCCAGCGGGATCACGCTGCTGTGGCAGGCTTTCTGGGAGTGCGTGGTCATTG